CTTTACGCTGGGCAAGCTCAAATTCTCCATACAAGTCTAACCCTCTATACCTTTGGCTAGTTTAAAAAAAAATAGGAACAAATGAGCTGGTTCGTTCAACAAACAATTTAACCATTCATGCTAGATACTTCCAAACGAGAAACGAGATCCATTTCTTGTCCGATAAAAACAGATACAAGCATGTCTACGTATATATACTGTGTGCCCTCAGTTCGAGGTGTAACCTTCTCAATTTCATTGCAAGGCACGTATGGCTTGCATAATCTGCTATCTCGAGACCTTAAAAATGTGTGGCATGGCTCATCCAACAGCATGCACCACACGAAAAGTATACTCTGTGTCATTGCATACATACTGCAAGAATATCATGGTAGATGATCTGAATGCGCTTGATATGATTTGATATGATACACGTTCTAAAACGCTCGTCCTTGATAACAATACCATGTGAGAATCTATGTTCCTCGAAAGTAAATGAGAATAAAATGAGACCAGAAGATATATAGCACCAACGCCTTTTATCGTACTGCTACAAGATTGATTCTATGCCCCTATTCCTGCAACTCTCGGAGACTGGGGAGAGTCTTTGGATCCGGAGCAATGTGTCGGCTGCGGGGCATAATGTCGTGAATGACAGCAAGCGGCCAGCTCTGGGCATACTCGGCATCCAGAATATTGGCCCAATGAATAGCAACGCCGTCCACACCCTGCGCGACAATCTGACGCTGCTTCTCCTGTTTCAGCAGCTGTTTACCAACACCACGCTTAGGCACCGGCCGAGGAGACTCTGCTGCAGAGCCAGCCTGGCCAGCTTCAACGGCGGTTCCTGGCGGACCAGATTGCGCATCGCCGCGCTCTGCCTTGACAACTTCCTCTGCTTGAGTTGCTTCATCTGTACTTTCGATCTGATCGACAACCTGGCCGGCCGAGGACTCCTGTTTCCGGGCAGCAGCGGCTTGCTCCTTTTCGGCACGCTTCGCCTGCGCGACTTCCTCTTCTTCTCGAGCGATGGTGGCAATCTTCTCTTGCCAATGCAAGACGGCAGCCATGTCGGCGATACTATTGGCCTTTTGGTTCATGAGCGCTTTGGCTCGTTGCTTTTTCGTCATGAGCTGCGAGGGATTGTCCGGGTTGCGCATCTTGTCCTCAGGCCACTGCAGCTCGTGCAGCTTGCGGAATTCCCGAAGTTTTTGGTACGCGACTAATCCCTGATCGCTGGATGGGAATGATAAAATTGACATGGGTTGCCATGTGTCTTTTCTGATGGCAGCCGGTACGGTTTTCTTGCCAACAAATGGTATTTGTCTGAGCGCAGCATTGTTCTGAAATTGGACAAGTCAGTAGATGTATTGCGGTTGATGCGAGCACTAGAGCAAATCGCTCAAGAATCAAACAATGTCACACACCTGTATCGCTCGAGTCAAGGAGTAGATGACTTGATTTGTGCGGAGGTTGTTGTAGACAAATATATGCCGGCCATGATCGGCGGCCGTCTTTGAAACGTTCACCATGACAATGCTGTGGCGTTGAAGTCGTCGTGTAGCAAAGTTTTAAGCCCTTGTCTCCAAATAATGTAGGGCAGTCAAATGTGAGGCAAACCACAACTCAATTGGCGTCGCTGGCCAAATAGTTAACGATATTGATCATTCACAATCAGTTGCGGCCGAGGATTTCGCCAAATTGAAGTTCTTCGGTTTCCCAAATGGGATGTTAGCCGCAGCCGCGTCGGAGGTTTTGTGAACAACCGCCGAGCCATCGTCAATCGTCAGCGTCACTCCGTCACTCCCTCACCGGGAGAGCTTAGCTTGTTCGTGATGTCTGCAGGGCCTTTTTGAAGTTTGCAATGGACTGAAACGATATTCCTTTCTTTCAAAAAGAGGATAGATATCTTATTTGCAAAATAATGCAAGCTTCTCTGACTAGTCCCTGCCAACGCCGACTGTAATGTCGCGTGCAACCAACGACGGGGCTAGTCCAACGACTACGGACCCCGTCGACGGCAAGGCATGGCGGCGAGAACGACCGCTGCTGCTTCCATCTGTGAGATAATTGCATGAGAGATTGCCGGAATATTTTCTTCAGCGTGCTAATACTATTCTGGCCAGAACCGTAAGCTCCGCCATCTTCAAGGGATATCTCTACGCAACCTGACTCTCGCACCTCCGTCCGCCCGAATTCGACGGCAAACCATTGATGATGAATCACTCCCCAAAACATGGAAGTCTCCAGCGAAACTTCTTGCTCAAAGGGAGACCCGCAAGCTGGAACACTCTCGGTCTTCAATTGATTTGAAACTTCCAACAACATCCGAGAATGACTCGAGCACAAGCACGCTCCTTACGCAAGACTCCAGCTCGACTGACACTCCGCGTCCGGGCCGCGGAGTTATGCGCAGGCGAAGTACGTTGAGTTGGGCCAACTTCAGCCCAGACACGAGACAAAAGAAGCTTGAAAGCGTTGCCAGCGGACGCATGGCCGATACCTGGTTCTCTCTGCACTGTGCCGGGAATGATGGTAAACAAATGTCCTCTTTTGTGGAAAAAAATCACACGTAACTGATTTTACTCAAATCAGAGCCAGTATATATCAGTGAGGTCATTGAAAAAGCAATGGTAGGGAATGGAAGCCCACTTGATTTTCATCTATTCGTAGCTAATTTGCTGCAGAATCCCTCCTTTCGCTTCTTCGATCTCAACTCGTGCGGACCGCTAATAAGCCGCCTCGATGATATGGCTATCAAAGTGTGGGCCAAGAACGAGACCTTGGACGATTATAACCTCTTGGTCGAATTGCAAGTTAACCTGCAATCTCTGCAATTCATCGGCAAGACAGTAAGCGGATTTTGTCGAATTTTTTTCTCATCCTAAGAGTAGATTCTAATTACTATTGCCTTCTTTAGCTCGAGAACTCTCATCATCCTCTCCCCCAGAACTGTATCGTCTTTCATCTCTCGGACGGAGTCTACACATCATTTACAGACCTTCCCCCAGAAGAACCGTCCATTGGCCTCCCGAGAGTCACTACGCAAGGCGCTCAATCTTCCTCCTCGTATGATGCGCTGATGCGCCTTTCGACTCTGGATGACTGTATCCAGGACGCTTTGGCTACCCGAGAGCGCCTTGCATCGCAAATCACTCATCTTCTAAAAACCAACGAGGATCGGGTCACCACCGTCGCACAAGTCCCGCTTTCTGAATCATCCTTGACTACGACGAAACGATATTGTGCGTCACAAAAGCGGCTGTTAAAGAATGCAATAAGCCGTCGCGGTGAGCTACAAATGAGTCTCAATGCCCGGCGAGAGGCTATGCTCCAAGGTCAAAAATCACAAGCGCGAGCCAAAGAATACCTTGAGGGCGCCACAACGAAACTATCCAATTGTAGATCCTTAGAGAGCGAGACGGCTGAGGATATTCACGGTCAACGCCGACGTATCTGCGAAGACCTAATGAATATCTTCCCCATCGAGCCAGTTTCTAACGGACGTCCATTGGCATTCACCATTCGCGGCGTACCACTACCAGCAAATTCTAATTTTGGCGAATCTGACGAGGATGAGGAAGCAACCGCGGCAGCCTTGGGGCATGTTGCGCACGTCGTTTACCTATTATCATTCTATCTTTCCATCCCACTTCCTTATCCAGTGCAGCCGTATGCTTCGAACTCCTTTGTTCGAGACCCTATTTCTCTTATGCCGCGCGCCAGCAGCGGAGGCAACAGCACCTCGTCTTCCTCTAACACACAGCCAAATTCCACATCCTTCCCGAGCACCTCTTCTGGCAATGGCTTCTTCTCCTTCTCCTCTTCATCCCTCTCCTCTGCCGGAAACAACAATTCAATCTCCAACTACCGCACTTTCCCCCTCTACGTCCGCGGCGCGGTACGATACCGTTTCGAATACGCCGTCTTCCTACTCAACAAGGACATTGAGCTTCTTCTCAGTCGCCAGTCCTTGAAAGTCCTCGACATCCGTCACACCCTGCCGAACCTCAAATACCTCCTGTACGTCCTCGCTGCCGGTAAAGGTGACTTACCTGCGCGCAAAGCGGGCGGCGTAAGGGGCCTACTCGTCGGCCGCGTCACACCGACCGCAGATGGTCTCTTTGGGAGTCTGTTCGAGCGTGATGCAAACCGTCCTGGGAGTCGCGGTAGCCTCGCAAGCACCAATAGCGGTATTGGTGGCGGTGTCGGTGTTAGTGCTGGCAACGTGTCCGCTCGCAGTGGCGATAATCATCATCATGAGAAAAGCATCAAGGAACTCAAGAACGGCGTCAAATCTCCTGTCGCGCAGACAACGCGCCCTCATACTCGCTCCTCGTCGCTCTTATCCAACATGGCCGTCTCGTCGACTGCGACGTCTCCGCCTTCCGGATCGTTTCGAACCAAGGGATTTAGGGAGCGAGAGAGATGAGCTTGCGGTTCTTATCATGAACTCGTGACATTATCATAAAATTCAGTTTAAGCTTAGTGGCCACGCCACTGTTACAAGCACAAAGTAGATGCCCGAGTTAGATGTGAGAAGCGGATTGCACCATTTACTTTATGTCCGTTGTCAATATATATATATATTCTATTCAAAAATACCTTGGATAAATCCATGTATCATTCTACCCATTCATAAATTAAAATCATGGCATCTCGAATCTTAATCACTTCATCAAAAAAGGGACATTATGCGGCACATTACGCTTGTGTAATATCTCAATATCATAATTTTAAAACTTTTAAAAACTTTTTGATATGCTATAACTCCAGCTTATAATGAAACGGAAAAAAAGAGGATAAAAAAAAGGAAAGTTGCACTCTAGATGACAGTAGTACATGTATAACGCAATCCTTTTCATCCCTCGTCTAATTGGCGATCTCATCTACTTTTCCATTTAACCCTCCATGTCAAATCATTTCTACCGCTTGTTGATACTTGTACGTCTGCATGTCGACTAGCAGATCCAAGCTCTCTGGGCTTGGGCTTGGGCTTGAAAATGCGAGACAAGATTGCTTATACTGTATACCGATTTGAACGACTCGTTCAGTGTAGACTTGACAATTGCGCGGCTGATATTAAATCACATCGTACAACTCGATGACTCCTGGTCGGTTTTGTGAGAGTGACCAAGGGCCAATGAAACTGAGGAATGGCAAGTTAAGAGATTATAGTAAGAAATGTGCGCGGGGGATTTTTAAACACTGATTGTCTTGAAGACACTATAGGGAGATGAGTTAGTTTTGCGCGGATATAGAAACAAGAGGGAGAGCTGAGAAAAAAGAGAGGGAAAATAGGAGAGAGAAAGAGAGGAAAAGAGAGATATTAAAATCCACCGCCACCAGTGGCCATAAGCGTGCCAGGAATCTGGGGATGCCAGTGGCACTCCTTGACCATCTCGAGGTAGTGCACGAAGAGCAGTT